TTTGGCGATTTAGTTAACCATTCTCTAGCAACAGCGATTTTAAAATGCATAATGTCCATAATTTCATTTTTACGTTTTTGTAACTTTTGCGCGTCTTCTCTATATTCCATCCAGGCGTTTACGATGCTTAAGTCAATGAAATATAGTGCAACTTTTAATGTCCATTTTCTTGATTTGATCCACGTTCAGTAACATTCCATTTGTTGGTCACATATATATCTACGCCACCCATGTACTGGTTATATGATTTAACAACATCTAGACAGGGTACTTCGATTTCCTTATTTTCCGTTTTACTCCATCTTCTTACTACACTATGAGGTTTTGCTCATTTTGCACCACACACGTTCTATCCACAGCTGCCATCGTTCTCATTTGCTCTTAATAATTTGGTGTACCAACCACTTATGAGTCGTGCCCTGTGTGTTTTACCTAATTTAAATCGGTTTTTTACAATATGACCCAAACATTGAAAGGTGAGCGATTGTCGTTATTACGTAGACTTATAGCTGATATACGTCGAAATTAACATCTATGGGATGTTAAAAAATGTCGAATTTATTATTTAATTATTACTAATACCAGCTAGCGCTAGCTAATCAGCTGATCATCGTCAAAACATATTATTATCGTTCACCGGGGATGCGACTATTATAGTCATTTTTTCTTCCGATTGCCGCCAATCCCTTGTCTGCTATTTACTAATTACGTTGTGGTTATTTTTTAATTTTTTAAAAACTTGACGACTACATTTGATAAGTACCTACATTACATTCAATAAGTACCTATTAAATACTACGTCTTAATAATAAGTTAAAGTTTTAAAAATTTATGTTCCTCGTTATATTGTGCTATTTTTGTTCCTGTAATCATTATAATATTTGGATATTTGGAAGTTCAAATTTGTCATTATGTAAATTTTAAGTATACACTTTCATCATATTCATATTCACTTTTATAGTACATCAGTGATGCAACCAGGATTTATTCAAGGGGGGAGAGAGATAGTGGTCCAAAAAATTATATTTAATTAAAGTTAAATTAACTAATTTTGATTTGTTTTGAGGTGTTCATGGACATTTCAAAATGTCAAGTTTTTTTGTTTTTTTTTTTTTTATAAATGTTAATACAATTTTTAAATCTAGTCAAAAAGCTTGAAATTTTAATACAAGGTTCTTCATAATTATTATCATAATCACGGTTAAATCAAACCACATTACAGCGTACATCAAAAGGACTTGCTTGTAGGAGAATGTATGGAAAACATACATATGACAATATAGCTGAAATGATTGACAAAGTATTATCGAAATTTAATATTCAGAATAAGACATCTCTCATTGTAACTGATAACGCGGCAAACTTTGTGAAAGCTTTCAGGTATAGTACTTTAATCTAATATCTACAACAATACATAGTAAAAAATTATATATATTTTAAGTCCAAAACACTAATAAGTAATACATGCATGATATAATTAATTTATTACCTATATTTTATTCATGACAAATTAAATAACCTACCTTGTGCAATAGCCAATAATATTTATAAAAAAAAAAACAGCCCACTAGTTATTCTACTAAAGTCATTCTGACAAAACAATTAAATAATGTAGCATAATAAATACTGATTTAAATTATCAGCAATTTTTGCCTTTGTTGTTTTTATATTACTGTATATTTGTTTTTTTACTTTTAGCTTGTTTTAAATGAAACATATATTAATACATTTTTTAAATATCATCAAATAATAAAAGAATAATGACTACAATAATACCAACCTGCCTAGGTTGTACATTGAAAATTAAAATGAATTATTATTTATTACATTAGATTCTTCACTAATATTTATAGAACCTAACAATATAATTAATAATTATATCTTTAACTAGTTTAAATTGTAGAGTCTACAATGAAAATGCCACTATACAACCTTCCACTGCCAGTAATCATAGTAAGTGTTATTATTCAATATTATGGTTTTTATAAATTAGTATCAGGAACTGCATAAGAAACCCTTCCACCCACTGGAGTATTGATCTATTTATCCTTATTTATCCAGTTTTATATCAAATTATATGCATAAATTATAAAACCATATATATTTCAATATTTGTATTATACAGTGAATAATATAATTTACAAGTGCTTATGTTATTAGTGTTATTGCATATAATTTTATATAAAACTGGATAACTACCAAAGTACCTACCCATCAACCTACTAACTACTTCCCACTAAATTTTAAGAAGCATTTGCTCCAAAATTAACCCTTTAACATGTCATTGCTTCCACTAGTTACACGTTACTAAATAATATTATTTATTCTTCCAAACAATTTGTTGTAATGGTAAATAATAAACACTATATTTTGAATCCAATATTAATTAAGAAGGTACAATTATTTTTAATTAGCAACCCAGAAGCATAATATTGAAGAGTGTGGTTATTTTATGATAATTATTTAATATTTTTAGTATTATGCTTTATTATTATTTATAATATTGTAATTAACCTTACCCTACCATGAGTTGCTTAATTCCAATATGGTAAACATAATTTTGTCCCACTTTTTTATGATAGCACTCAAGTTAGGTTTAGTTACAGCTATACAGTTAAGTTGTATACCTTCTCAAGAAAGAAGAATTTAAAAATGTTATGAAAAAAACTGGTTTTCACTCTCAATACATGGTCTTATAACTGTCAACTGCAGGCACAATCATTTATATAAATATAAAAATAAGATAGTAAAAAATGTTTTTATTTTAATAATATTTAACTAAATTAAATATGTTTATATAAGATCAAGATGAAGGAGAAGAAGAAGAAGAAGAAGAAGGGATGCGACCAATTAATATTTCAGACGAGCTTGAAAATGGAGTAGATAATTTGTTTAATTTGACATTACCTCAACATCAAAGGTGTGCTGCGCATACCTTGAATTTGATTGCTACTACTGACATTGGAGATGCTGAAAAAGATAAAGCCTACAAAATATTGAGCAGACGCGTGTTTGGGAAATGTCAAGCTTTATTTAACAAGCAGAACCAATCAACGCAATATGCTGATCAAATAAAAAATGTTCTTGGCAGATATTTAATTACTCCTAATGCTACAAGGTACCTACATAATGTAAATTTATATCCTTGTGTATATTTATGTAGGTATTATTTAACTATTTTGAATAAAAAAAACTCATATTACATCTAAATTACATTCTAGGTAGAATTCATTTTATGACGCTATTAAATTCATTGTCAGTAATTTGAATAAAATAGATGAAGCATTTTCTATAACGTCATTGCCACCATTTTCTAGACCACGTGAAACTTTATTTCTAATTGAGTATTGCAAGGTATTTATATAATATATTTATAACTATCAACTCATATTTTTTTGTTTCCCATAATTGCAATACAGTTTAATATATCTAGTATCAAAGTACTTAAAGACAAGTTATACTATTTATTAAAATGTTTAGGTTATGCAGCCGATCGCAAAAAGCTTAGACATATTACAAGGGGACAAACATGTGTGTCTTGGATATTTACTTCCTACATTAACTACGATTAATAAATCATTAAAAAGTTTGTCAAGTTTAAACTACTGTACGCCATTGGTAAATGCTTTGCAAAAAGGAATAAAAAAAAGGTATTTGATTTTAATTATAATAAAATTACTTAAACTATTTTAAACAATTATTGTATTGTATTTGGTATTAATAGGTTTCAAAGATACATGAGTTCTAGCACATGTCAGATATCATCTGCTTTAATTCCTAAATTTAAGTTGAACTGGGCCAGCTCAGAAGAAAAAATAAGTATTAAAGAAAAGTTGGTTGAAACATTAAAAACTTGTGCTGAAGATGCAGGCAGTACATATACTACTTCACAACCTTTGGTTCAAAATGATTTGTCACATCAAAATGTGACAGAGGATGATGATTTTTTGCTTTTTGAAGATGACTTACAAGAATCCAAAATAATTATGATTTACAAAAAATAGTTTCTGATTATTTATTGAACCATAACATAAAATCTCCAGAAGATTTGCCAATAACATTGAAAGAAGCCTATATTGAGTACAATACTGCAGTACCATCGTCAGCTCATGTTGAACGTTTGTTTAGTGCAGGAGGACAGGTTTTTAGAAGAAGAAGGGGTTCCATGTCAGATACCAATTTTGAAATGGCTTTATTGTTAAAGTTTAACAAATATTTTATTCAAGAATAAATAAAATATAAATTATAAATATTATAATAATTTATTTGTATACAATATCTTATGAGCAAAAACTAATAAAAATAATCATATAAAATAAAATATTTTTTTTTGTATGTAAGCTCAGTTTGAGTGTCTAGTTAACAGTGATAACCCATAAAAATCTATTCTGGAGTGATTTGAGAGTAATTCGCTTGTGTGCTAGTAGCCAGCAGGTAACAGTGAACAGTATTTAATATTTACAACTAACTATTATTTTCTTAAATAAATCAAAAAGTATAATGACAGCATATATAAAGAGTTAGGTAGTTGTTAGTTGTTTATTTAACCATATTTCATGAATGTTAATGTATGAATACATATTATGAGCTTAAAGGTGGTTTCACACGAAGCGAATGTTCGCGCGGCGAACGCGATTTTAAATCGCAGCGGTTTTTAATCGCTCAATTTATTTTGGTTTCACACTAGCGATTAATCGCTAGATGCGAATGGCCTGCGAACATTATTTCCCGCCAATTTTCGAATCAAACAACTGTGCTCTTATTTTACAAATTAGTCGTTCAGACATCGTGGTTGCGTGTAGTGTTCATTTGCAGTCGTTCTGTATGTAATTTTATAAAATATATTATTTTATCAGTTTGGTCAACACATTTTTTTACAAAAAATGGAAACATTTAACACTATTGAACGCTTTAGTATAATTTATGCATTACATAAAAGAAGTCAATTACAAAAGAAAAAAATTAACAGAAAAAGAGTGCATTGGGTACACCCATTAAATATGAAAAGAATTGAAGAAGGACAATTTCAAGTCACATTTTTAACACTTCGGCAATATCCTGAAGAATTTTTTAAGTACTTTCGTATGTCAATAACGTCATTTGATACACTAGTAAGTTTATATAATTAATAATATTAAGTCAGTCTATACAATATTTTATAAATAGTAACTAAATTACTAAACTCAATGGATTTAGTTTTTTTTTAATTTACTTCAATGTATTTTACAATCTAGATTTTGCTGGTTGGAAAATATATACAAAAACAGAATACAAATATGCGTATTTCTATAACTCCTGAAGAAAGGTTAACGGTGACGATAAGGTAAAATAATATATTTATAATAATAAATAATTGTATACTGATTCGTAACTCGTAAGTAGGGTTCTGTAAAATAGGCCTAATAAAAGTTTACACATATTAGTGACTTGAAATTAGTCACTTTATTTTTTGTTTCTAGTTTCTATGTACACGATAAGTAGTCGAAATAACGCTTCGATTTTCCACTTCAATATCTTATTCGATGGGAAAGTGAATCCAATTTTTAACATAATATTCGATATTGATTTTATAATGATGTCCTTTTACTCGGTGGGAAAGTAAATCTTGTTTGTGCATTCGGGAGTTCAAAATTTAAAAGCGCCAGAAAAAACAAAAAAAAAAAGGTGGGCAAGTGGGTGTCGCTCTGTTGTACAGTAGGTTACAAGTGAGTCACTGTAATGGATTGTGTTAAATTTGAATCCAATGATATAATATCATTGTATAAGAATAACGATTATGAGCGAAGACGGTCAGTCAGCTGATATTAGGAAAAAACGTCAATGGTAAGAGAGTTTTACGGAAAAAAAGTCATACGGACAAAAGGTCTTCAAATTAATTTTGATTTAAATTCAGTGTTTTATCATATAGGTATTTATATAGCCATATGGGTGCATAGCCGATAGGTAATACATATTATATTTATTGAAAATAATTAACAACAACTAAATTAAATAGGTACCTTTCTAGGATTAAAAATTATTCTCACATATTAATATATTATGTGCATTGTACCTAGACGAAAGAACATAAAAAAATTATTATTGTATACAATATAGTTATTTTGGCATTTTGCACAAACAAAATAAAATATACTTTAATGTTGATGATATTAGGTATTGCAATTCAAAAACTAATCTAAAATTAGGTAAATTTGAATGCTTCTCTTTTTAGATACCTAGCTACTGGAACTAATTTTACCGCGCTACATTTTGAATTCTTGATGGGTGTGTCAACAATTTCCAGAATAGTTTTGGAAACGTGTGATGTTATTTGGCAAATATTGCAACCCATTGAAATGGCAGCACCTACTACTCAAGATTGGCTAGAAATATCAAATGGATATTTTAAAACATCACAATTTCCTAATTGCGTTGGAGCTGTTGATGGCAAACACATAAGGGTGGAATGTCCAAAAAATAGTGGGACACTATATTATAACTATAAACAATATTATTCACTTATTCTTATGGCAGTCTGTGATTCAAACTATTGTTTCCGAATAATAGATGTTGGTTCTTATGGAAAAGAAAGCGACTGCAACATTTTTAAAATATCGTCTTTCGGGAAAAAACTGTATTCAAACCAAATTAATTTTCCTCCAGATAACAATTTACCAGGTGATGATTTCGGTGAACCTCAACCATTTGTAATTGTGGGTGATGAAGCTTTCGCCCTAAATAACAATTTGTTAAGACCGTTTCCTGGTAGGTCATTAAATGACCAAAGAAGGATATTCAACTACCGGCTATCAAGGGCCCGACAAACAATAGAATGTTCCTTTGGCATTTTATCTCAAAAATGGAGAGTTTTCCAAACTAGCATTTTAGTTGATCCTGATATGGCTACTACTATCACAAAAGCATGTTGTGTCTTACATAATTTTATTAGACGTCGGGACGGATATAACATCGAACACACTCTCAGTTGTCCTTTAGAGTGTATAACTGAAAGAAGAGGAGTGGGAAATTCTTCAACTAGTGCCAAAGATGTGAGGGAGTACTTTGTTAAATATGTTAATGATCCTAGTCACGCGTTAAGCTGGCAGAATAAAGTAATTAGAAAATCTTAGTAACTATTGTTATTTAATGTTTTTTAGTATGTATTTTTTGATTACTTATAAGTTATATGTTATAAGGTTAGTGACGTATAATAATGGATAGTTTCGTAGCATTTTTATTTTCAATAGGTATTAAGACGTATTTACATACTTGATATTAAACATTATGTATTAATTAATTAATAGTATTTTTTTTATATAATACATCATATCATTATTATTACTATTTAGTTTATTTAATAATATTATTTTATTATTATATATTTAGGATATTATTTAATAATAATTATTATATTATATTTAATAATATAATATACAAGATCAAAATATTATTATTATTAAAATGTTTACAAATTTTCAATTGATAAAAAATAAAAGTTGTAATGGTTAGTTACAATATACTAACATAAATATAACATACAACATAAATAAAAAGAAAATGTATTTTTCTTTATAATAATATTTAAAACAATTAAAAAAAAATAATAATAAATACTTATACCCATACTTCTTTGGGTTCATTTAAAATATAATTAAAAATCAATACTTTTATAATATTTAAAAACAATTTAAAAAAAAAAAAAAATACTTTTGTGGGTGGTTAATTTAAAATATAAATACATTTATAAAAATAAATTATTATGATATTTGTAATTATACTACAAACTGTTAAAAAACAAATATAAATGTACAACATTTTAGGTAACAACTAGATATTTTGTGAGCCGTTATCATCATATGGAGAATGACAGTTTTGGGAATTAGGGGCAGGATAATTTGAATACGTTTGGGTATAAATTGGGTGCGATGATGGGTTTTGTACATATGAATTCACTAATGATGGATGAAGTGGTTGAATGTTGGGAATGGAAAAATGTTGTCCGTGTTGAATAGGTGCAGCCGGTGCAGGTTGTGGGTTTTTAATTTTTTGAAATATGTTTAATATTTCTATCTGTGCACTGAGTTTTTGGTCTTCGTTTAATAATTTAAATTTTGGTAAAAGCGACAGTAAAAACAGTTTATCCGGATCATCGTCGGTTTGTTTATTTTTCATAAGATCAACGAGTTGATTTTCAAAAGGTGACATTTTTTCATCATACTTCTTTGATTTTAATGTTCCTAATCTGGGCTTTTTTGAATGACTTTCTTCTTCCACTTCTTTTTCTACTTCTTCATTTGCTTGTTCTTCATCAGCATCATCTTCAATTCCATTATTATCGTCATCGGTATCATTATTAAAATTACCTTCAGTCCTAAAAGAAAGATGTTTTTTTAAATTTTTAGTAAAATATATGCGTCGTACAAAATAAATAATTAATTAGTAATAAGTATTTATTTATCAAGTATTTACTTAATATTTATAATATAAGTTAAATATTAAGTTATTTAAGTATAAGCAAGTAGTTAATATAAATATTAATTGTATTTAATATCAAAGCACTGAGCACTACTAACCTTCTATTATCCATTGTTGGTTTCAAAAACTCCAAAATATTGGAATAAATATATTCTTTAATTTTATTGGCAGCTTGCCCTGATTTTGTAATGCATTTCCTCCGATAGGTATCTTTTAAGTTTTTCCACTTTTTCTGGAGTATAAGGACTGTAAATAATAGGTATTGTAGAGATAGTCTGCATATATATATTATTAATGAAGTATACTTCATATATGTGATTCATAAGTAAAAAAAAAAAATGTGTAAATAGTATGTAATTTCGTCCAAATTTGAATTTAAAATGTCTGTAAAAAATAACTTTGTTTATATATTTTTTAGATTTTTGGTTAAAGTATGAACTATTTATGAGAATTTTTGTTTTAAATTGTTGATCCTTAGTTATAAAAACCGATCATTTTTTAATTACCTACAATGATTGATAATTTTAGAGATTTTGATAAATATTGTAAAAATTTGAACTTTAAAGCTTATAAAAAAAAATTGTTCCAAGGTATTTTCAATATTTTTCAACTGCTATTGTGACATTCAAAATTCAGGAGGTTTGTATTAAAAGGTTTGTTTCACTCTTTTTGACCTAACAAATTAAATTGTATTGATATTTATAGAAAAAAACCAAAATAAATTTTAAATTGTCCGTCAAAAAGCTTAAAATGATTTAAATATTTACAACAATTTTGAAAACTACTTGGAAATTTTTACTTTTGGCCACACCTAAGTATCAACTAGATTCACTTTCCTGTCAGAAAAAATACTGTTGAAGAAAATCTAAGCATTTTTACTGTCTTACAAGGTGATGACAGACACAAAAAAATAAATAAATAAAAAACACATCATTGTAAAATCAATACATTCATCGCTCAGCTCAGAATCAAAAATTTAAATTAATTAATCAACATGTATAAGTAGCATTATTATTAATACTATTTTTTAAATGCAAACTATTATTATAATTTATTTATAATTATTTCAAACATTAATTACTTTGTTTCTGCTTCTCTGTCTCTTCAAGAGTTTCAAAATTCTTCAACACAGCTGTTGCCACTTTCATCCAACTTACGTGCTTTGCTACCTTATCATGATATTCTTTTGCTTCTATGAAAAAAATATAAATAAAAGAATAGTTACCTATATAAAATTACAAATGATAAGAAATTTTTGTTTAGGTAGGAACATTTGAGAGAATCTTCTATTAAAATGTTTAATGTCACCTTTGAAAAGAAAAACTTTTATGAATTATGAACTCAAAAATAATTTACAAATTTGAAATTTTGATGAATTTTGTCAACATTTGAACTTTAAATGCATATAAAAAGTAATTGTTTTTTATAATAACATAATATATTTTTAATATTTTTGATCGGTTATTAAAGCAAGGACTCTTGTGTTGAATATTCAAGCTTTATTACCAAGTGGAAGTTTTTATCAAAAAAAATTTACAAAATTTGAAAAATTCTTCAAGCTTATAAATAGCTTAAAAAAAGTTAAAAAATATCGAAAATATCACCATATTATATGGAAAACGCAAATATAAATATTTGGTGAAAATAGTAAAAAGTGTCTACGGTATTTGTTTTTGAGTTTCATAATAAAATTGGTTTTGTCTAAAAATAAGCATTTTTTTTGTTTTTAAAGACGCTTTCAAAAACTACTGGGAATTTTCAATTTTGACCCCTCAAAGGTATCAACTATACTCAATTTTCTATCAGAAATTGTAAATAATATTTATAACTTACTAATATTCCATATAGAATCTTCCACAGATACTTCCATAATAAGTTCTTCAATGTCGTAACTCATATTAATTATAAATGAATAAATATGAATGTTAAATTTAAGATGATAAATATGAAAATATTAAATTGATTAACTCACTGAAAATTCACTTTTTTACAACTGGGTATACTAAATTAATATAAATTAATATATAATATCAACAATATTGATATTTGGTGGTCGATATTTGAATGATCGAAGTATCGAACGGCGAACATTCGCGGCGGAAATCACGCAGTGTGTATCAATCCAGTCAAAACATTGTGTATAATTTTAGCCGCCCGCAGCGAATGTTCGCCTAAAATTAAACAAGACCGATTTCTTGCGATTGTTCGCCATTCGTACCCAAGCGATTATTTATGTGTGAATACTGTGACTTAAATGTAGCTGTTTAATTTTGAGCGAATGTTCGCGGCGATTTAAAATCGCGTTCGCCGCGCGAACATTCGCTTCGTGTGAAACCACCTTAATTAATGTCCATGTTGTTTTATTTTTGATACTGATGTTATCATAAGATGCTGTCTACGAAAACTATGGTAAAATAAAATAATAGCTTATCTTTAATTAAATATATCATTCTTACTAATAAGTAATAATAATTAAAATTAATTTTATAAATGTTTGTATTTAGACAAGTAGTTGTTTTATTAACTGTTAATTTAATAATATTTAATACTATACAATATACATTTATTATTAATTTGATTATTATTTATTAATACTTAGTTGGTAATAACAAAGTAAAATTTAAACGTTTTACCATTACTTTGGAAAACTTTTAGGTAAAAAATAAAATAGGTATATACAAATAATTTGTTGGATTTCATAATTTATAAGTACCTACAGCAAAATACATTTTTTTAAGATATAAAGACTAAAAGACCTACATTATAATATTATTATGTTATTTGTAAATATTTAACTTGAGGTGTAAATGGTGTAATTATAAGTTTTATAAGAAAAAAAAAAGTAACTTATATTTAACTAAGTTAAGTTACTTTTTTTTCCAACTAACTTGTAACTTTAACGAGTTAAATAAAAAAGGAAAGTAACTTTTAACTTTAAACTTAACTTACATTTTTCCAAATTACCTAACTTAACTTAACGAGTTAAAAAAAAATAGTTAACTTGCCCAGCCTTGGGAAATACAACGCATTAGAAAATGCCAAGCGACGACGACTGCTGTCTTGAGACGGATATGTTGGTGGAGACCGGTGGTGTTATAATAGATGGCTCTGCCGATTCTCGGGCTCGTGCGTTGTGCTTAGCCCATCATGAAGGTGTCAGCACGGTGTTCACGAAAAAAAAAAGTAACGTATCGTCCACGAGGTTGTGGTGTGTCGACGGGGAAGTCTGGGAGACGTGACGAGGAAGACGGGGGTGCACGGCAGTGTTGGCGATACTTGCCAGTACTTACAGAAAGAAATTCGCAACAGCAACATCAAAATTCCCCATTCATATACAAAATTTCCCCGCGCCAAAACAAAAAAAAAAACAAACAACATAGTGTATATAACATTAATTTGAAAGCTGAACTTTATTACCGTGAGATATTAAATAATATTGTAATAAATAATAGTATTCTTATTTACATAATTAGGTACTAATATTATAATAATATCATTAATATCACAATAAATGAAAATAAAAACGTATTAGGTAAATGTAATAATTTAGTATGAACAAATGGAAACTTAATATAATATAATCAACCTTGATTTAAATTTTATATAAATTAATAACATAAGAAATAAAAATATATAACAGTTCATAGTTCATTATTTTACATAGTTTAATGCAGCAGTCTTGATTTAAATATTAAATAACTACTAATATTATAATAATATCACAAGAAATTAAAATGACAATGTATTAAATGTAATAATTTAGTATGAACAAATGGAAACTTAATATAATAGAATCAACCTTGATTTAAATTTTATATAAATTAATAACATAAGAAATAAAAATGTATAACAGTTCATAATTCATTATTTTACATAATTTAATGAATCTGAAGAATGAAAATAAATTCATTTTTTGTCATATAAATTTTTATAGTTATGGAGTTCGAGGTGTCTTTCTTCTACTTTATATGAGATACAGTTTTGATTTTTATCTTGAAAAGAAGATCTTATTACAGCTACTGAATTCAGTAACTTATCTCGAATCCTATTTCGTTTTTTGGTTTTTACATCGGTAACTATTGAAAATACTCTTTCGGCCCTGCATTTGAATAAGGTAAGGCCAGCACCAGTTTTGCAAGCTTACAAATGTTAAAAAATCTTGGATTATCATGAACAAAATCTTTTACTAAGGATAACTCATGCCACATGTCTGCTATATTTAAAGATTTTAGGCGCTGAATTTCTTTTAAATTAAATTCACAAGGTAGTTGACGCCATTCCTCAATAAGTTTATCTTCATTAATATATTTTCGAAACTTAGATATTAGGAAAGGAAAATGAATTAAATTTTTTCGGTTTTCTAAATCAAGAGCTATATTAGGATCAATGAAAGTTAGTTCATGAATAAGCTCATTATCAAGAGGCAATCTTTTCACAATTTCTTGAGCAGAAGTAATATAAAAATTCAAACATTTTTCTTTAAAAAGAACTATTTTATTTTCCGGTTGTAAGTTTAATACATTTTGACACTCTGTCCCAACAAAAAGTTCAAGTATTGGTAATTGATTTACTTTATTATTGAAATCTATTCTAAAAATATTGTCGTTTATTAGTTTCGGTTTGATAAAATTTTGAGATATGGATTTAATCAAGCTCAGTGACAAACTAAACAATTTATGTATTATAATTGAGCGGCTCTGAAAAAAACTGCTGAATTTGTTGAAGTAATCCAATATAAATTTTAAAAAATAAAAATAACATTTGGTAAATGGGTTTAGAAGTTCTGCATGAATGTTTTCTGCAGATTTCAATTTATCTTCAAATATTGTAATTTTAAAATATTGAGTTAGACATTCTATTAATCTTACAACACATTGGTGCATAGCTAACCACCGTGTATCTGCTAACTTTAATATTTGTTTACGCTGTCCATCAAAGTAGTCTTAAATCTCATTTAGTTGTGCTCATCTCTTAGCACTACCAGATACATATGATGCTACTGACCTAATCAAATGCTCTGCCGATCTTGGTAAATGTTCTGTCGCCTTACTTGCTATTAATGCTGAAGAATGGCATATACAGCGCATTGTAATCACATTGGGTTATTCTTTGGTGATGTGTGTCATAAATGAATTGTTTTTTCCTACCATAACACTAGCACCATCACAAGCCACACCAATAATATTATCTAAAGAAATATTTTTATCGGATAAACATTGCTTAAATTCAGCAAATATTGCTTTAGCAGAACAGTCTTTTGCATCAATGCTAACAAGTTCTAACAGCTTGGTATGTGCAATATCGTCGATCAGATGTACAAATCGTACAAGTAAGCATAGACACTTGTGACATGATATGTCAGTGGTTTCATCAACTAACACTGAGAAGGGATTGTTTTTAATTATACCAACTAATTTAGATACTTCAACGGGTGCAATTATATTGTTTATGATGCTTGTACACTTAGTGCGGTGAAGTTCTATATCTCTACATATTTGAGAATCTGGGAAAACTGATTTTAAAACTGGTGTAAGGTGGTCTATCAAATGAAAAGCTGTATTATGTTCAGCAAAAAAGGCTGATATTTTTATTTCAGCTATTTTATCTTGGTTTTTGGATTTATATTCTAGACTGTTTTTAGGTGAACCACTAAATAATGTATTTAGTTCATATGTACCTTTTAAACCTTTACCATTAAATTGGTGTTTCTTGCCTTCATTGTGTTTTTCAAGTTCACTTTTACCACATGACAAGATAACATTGCATGCTTTGCATTTACCTTTTGAATCATCATTTGGTACCTCAGCCAACCAATTTTTAAATTTACCAATGGCCAACCACTCTTGACGAAACAATTTTCTATTTGTTCTTTTTAATTCAGTACCTATATACAGTATATTGTTATCTTTATTGCAATAAAAATATAAAAATATATATTAATATTATTTTATCTACAAATATTAAAACTTACTAGATCACTATTTGATGTAGGTATCTAAGAATTTTATAATTTTTTAGGTAGGTACATACCTATGTGTTTCTTAATAAGAACACTGATAGGGAAAAAACAAAAATTGGGATAATTTATTTGAAAGCTTTATATAATTTTAAATGCTTTCACATTTTTCATTTAAATAATATAATAAATGGCAATAAATATATTATAGGTACCTATAGGTATTTAATTAATATTTTTCATTTAAATAATATAATAGATGGCAATAACTATATTATATATAAATTACACAAATTCTATTATTGGCACCCCATGCCAATAACTAACCAAATTGTTGCCGCTGTCAGCTCTTATTAATATCAAATAAGTTGTGCCTTCACGACTGAATCATATATATATGCTTATAGAATATAAAATGAAAAACAATGTGTGTTGGCAGTTCTGTACTTTTTTATTGAGCAATAATAATAATAATAATAATGTGTTTTCTTTTAATTAAATAAATAAAATAATAAATTGCCAGGCAGGTTTATAATAATTAAGTGTAATATAAATATAATATGTAGCCTCTTGGCTTTTAACAATAATACAATAATTCAAATAATACAAATAATAATAATACAAAGTTTCTGACTAGAATATGAATGAATAGTATAAAAAATGAATAATATAAAATAAGTGCTTGATTAGCACATAATAATGTATTAATGAATGACTAAATGAATGATATAATAAATAATAATATGCAGCTCGTCAGCTGATTACCTTTAGAACTCAGACGAATAAATCACAGTGTACATGCAAATCACAAATGGCAAAAATTCACGTGCTTCTGTAAGTATCTCTTTGAACGCCCTGAATTGGGGAATAATATTAATGAATGAACTAAAACAAATGACTGAACGATACTTACAGAAGGCAATTCACAGATGATGTACACAAAATGATTAACTGAATGATGAATGTATTGTAGTGACTAGAGAATGAAATTGAATGTCTATGTATTCTATTTTAAAAATGAATTAAATACTGACGACTGACTATGAAAACACCGAACAACCGTGCACCTCGGAGGTCGTGTGAAAAATTGACGAGTTTTACATTAACGGACATACAAAATGCAATGAGAACTGTACGAATGGGCTTTCAGTGTCACCACACTAAAACAATTAAACATGAAAAACTAATGACTTTGTGACACTGAAGGCATGACTTGACAAAAAAAACTTTGAACGAATCAGTGTTGCCAGACTCTCTATCTATGATTATGGCACAAGTCTTCAAAAATTATCACATTTCCCATGAAATTATCGTATCATCAAAAAAATCGTACATGACAGCACTGCATTGCTTGCTTGCAACCACGGTTAAAGATATAGATAATATAATATATCAGACAAGGTGGATTGATATCAATCTACCTTGATATCAGAATTCTGTGGCTGCAATCCGTGATAAAATATAATATACCTATATGGCTATTTTACTGTATGGTATATTGGTATATTCAAGTATATTATTATCTTCAATCGTGCTGCGATTGATTAGCCCTAATAAGCCCTATTAATCTAAGACCGTGGATTAGCCCATCGTTGTTATCATTTAATTTTATCAACAAAAACAAAACATTTAATTTTTTTTTTGAAATCATGGTTTAAATATTTAATGTAATTTGTAAATGTTAATTACAATGTTAATTATGTTAATAACATATTATTTTCAATTTTAAATAAATAAAAACATTCAAATATGTAACAATTTTTAAGAAAACAATACTTCAACATCATTATCTGAACTTTTTTTGTATAAATTATCAGCTGTCATGGAACTCAACATTTTTTCATCAGGAACAAAATTAACACAACAATTACTTTTATTATGAGTAATACATTATGAGGCCCTAATTATACCATTTAAACTATCAACTAATAATTTATTTCTTGACTTTGTTTTAACTAAGTTTACTTTCGAAAAAATTCTTTCGCAACTAGCATTGGAATGTGGTATAACTAATGCATTTAAAGCAAAGTTTCCTAACTGTTCATATTCAAGTACCCCATCTCCTATATCAAATGTTTTAATTTTATACCAAAATGTGTCTACTGATGTCTCAGTTTTGATTTGATCAGGTAAATTAATTAAAGGAAGGCTTCTCCATTGGTCGTCAATCATTTGTTGTGTTTTAGTATCTTTTGAAGTAATTCTATGAAAACAATTCATAAGAGGTAACAAAGATTGTGGACGGTCATTAACATTTCCTAATGCAACTTTAATTGACAAGCATGAAATAAGAATCATAGTTTGGTCTTTAAAATCATACCTCATCTTAATTTGTTTACATGCAGTTATTACAAAGTCCTGACATTTTTTACCAAACTCTGTTACATTTTTTTTATCTTTAACTCTGTCTGTATTTTGTATAGCATTGTTAACACTTATATCCAAATACATCTGATCAATAGGAATATAGTTAGCTGAATTATCTAAATCAATTTCATATAATTTAGATGAGTTTAAAGATATCACTCTTTGATTAATGACTATCGATAAAAAATCCTTAAATGTATTACTCATTTTCTCATGAAGTGTTGTTATTAAGACCTTTTCTCCTTGGAACAGCTGATTTAAACACACAAATTTGGGTAAAATAAACTGCAAAAAATAGAAATACAATTTGGTAACCTTGTCGTTAAGAAGTTGCTGGATTTTTTCAACAGATGTTAATCTTAGTTCATAAACGCGAGATGTGAAAAAGAGTTTTAATGGTTCCCATTGTTCGACTAACCTGTCAACAGCACTCAATAGTGACAGCCATCTATAAAAAAAATACACTGTTATAAAAATGTAAAACACAAATAAATATTATTTTATTTAAACCTCGTTTGTGATGGTCTTAACATTTTATGAGGCTGTAAATCACAAAATTCTTGAAATTCACTTAATTCAACTCTTCTCTTACAGCTGCTTTTAAAATAACTGTAAATGTCACGAGTAAGATCTTCCAAAATCCGAGGTAACACTTTACACGCTTCGCTAGCGCAAAGATGCAAAGAGTGGCATATACATTTTTGCAAAATAATTCCAGGTAAATTTTCTCTTAAGCGACTAGTCACAGAATTATTTTGACCAAACATTGTGTTACATCCGTCTGAAGCAAATCCTACAATATTTGCCATAGGTACACCATTCTGAACAAATGACTCTATGGTTTTTTCATACAACCTGAAAAAAAATAAAGCATTTAAATTTAGTGAAATTTAGGTAGTAATAATTTTTGGTGATATACCTCTCTCCTGTAGCACCAAAAACTGCTTCATCTACATTAGTGAATACTTGCACCATACTCCAAAAATTTGTTTGAATTTGATTTAATTTTGTATCAAAATACCTTACACAAATACACATGGATTTCAAGGCACCAATGTCAGTTGACTCATCAATAAGTATACTGAAATATTGTGTTTGCATTTTATGTATAAGATTTTCAAAATGACAAGAACCAATAACGTTTTTTGTAATCGATGTAGCTTTAGTTCTTCCCATTTGTATACCATTCACAATTTTTGAGTCAGGAATAGCAGATTTAAGTACGCCTACCAGATGATCAACAAAGTTAAACGATATATTGTGTTTTGCAATCATTCCACATAACTTAATTTCAGCTGATTTTACTAATTGGTCAATTGGATCATTTTTTTTTTTAGCAAACATTTGATCGATGCTAACTTTTGTTGAAGATTTTAAATTTTGCAAATGCTTTGTTCCTTTGCCGTGATTTTTAATTACAGTTAATTCAGAAAGAAATTCTGAATTGCAAACTTTACATTTTGCTTTCAGTGGCTTACCTTTAACTGAAGTTAACCAACTTTTATACTCCGGTTTCTCACACCACTCGTTACGAAAATGTTGTTTTGCGTGATGCGAAAGCTTTTCTTTTGGTAGTTCATGTCTGATGGATAGTTTTTTTACTGGTGTACTTTCTCTTTTTAACCTTTTAACCATTTGTGGGTCGTCAGGGTCTGAGTCACTATCACGTAACATATTATTGTCGAACAATTAAAAAAAAACTGAACAAAACCATATAAAAAAACCACAAAGAAAATCATCAATCAATAGACAATACACTTTACTAGTTTACTATTTTACGATTGACGAATGACGTTCCTTTAATATTGTTGGTTAGGTTCAATATTTATAATCAATATTTCAATATTCATCAGTTACTATTTTTAGATTATATTGGAACGTTGTTATGGAACATGGATGAATTAGAATCACTACCTAGTACCTGTAGTTCCACAAAGCTTTTGTTCCACAATATATTTGTTCCTAATAAATCTTTTACTTATCATTCTGTACAGTGTATGTACATGTACACTGTCTTTTATATTATTTTGTTATTTTATTTCATATTTTTTTTTTAATATTTGTATAAATTATAAATAATATAACTATAAGGTTTTACTGTTTTAGTTTAAAAAATATTAGAAACAATTTATTGATATTATCGTAAAATTCAGTGTTATGGTATAGTGGTGATGGTCTATGGGCTAGTGGATAATTTATCGTAAGCGCCCATCAGTTATCGTATACCTGGCAACACTGGAACGAATATGACTTTTGAAAACATAAATTGATAACGGTCACGCAGCTGGCCGTTCGCACACGGAAACGTGATAAGAATTTATTTGATTACGGCTGCAGCTGCGGACCGCACCGTTGCATGCACATGAAGAAAAATGATAACAGAAAACAAAATGAAAATGACACAAATGACAATCTTAAACATGAACACAAATAGAAATATACAATATAGTTATTGTCATCTATTATATTATTTAAATGAAAAAAATTAAAGTATTTAAAATTATATAAGTAAGCTGTAAATGCTTTTAGGATTCAGAACATTACTCTTTGCGACCATTTATATACGACTATACGAGTAAATGCTTATTTCTTAACTGTACTCTATCACGATTTTAAGTAATACCTTACCTTTTTTGACTTCTTCTTCAGCAACGGTTTTCGAATACAATGTTGTATCTTATCAGTCACAGAACAATCATAACATTTGGCGCAAATATAAATAGGACAGTATGACCAATAATTTAAAAATTAAAAATCTCTTTAAAATCTAACACAGCATTATTTATTAATAAAAGAAGTTTGGTATGCCAATAACTATACCCCTGCCAATAACTATACAAGTTACCCTATACGGGTCTAACATCATGTTGGTGCGGGAACCAATTCCATGTTTTTCGTAGGTTCAGACTTCAGATCATAGGGAACCAATACCCCAATCAGCTGGTCGAGTTTCGCCTCTATACTGTTCTATGCCGCGACGGAGCTAGACAAAGTTAATAGAATATAGAGGTTGCCTCATAGTCATGTAAACAAAACGTTTCCCACCGTACCGTTCCTCGTCTACTGACGTCATTGCCGGAACAATCGACTGCCGTAGTGCGGTACAATGTATCATTTACTTATTTTCAACAGTATAATAATTAATAAAATCATTTTTTACATACTTTCTTTTGATTTTGATAACTTAATTATTAATGAATTATTCATTTGATTTACCAGCTATTTAATTATATAATAAATAATAATTATCGAATATAATGTATTTATTTTTAATACAGTGTAAAATTAGTAACTCGAAGCTCACGGCCCACTGGGGGAAAAAAGTCCGAATTATTAAAAATTTCGAGTTATCAAAACCTTAATGTGTTATTATGGGTAAGGGGTCATGCGTTCGAAAGTCATGTGTTCGAATGCTGTATGTCTGAACGTTAAGTGTACGAAAAATTGTCTGTTCGAAAGATTATATGTTCGAAAAGTCGTATGTTCGAAATTATCGATAAATGAAACACGATTTTTACCATAATATTTATTATTCGTTGATTCGATTTTCTGCGTAAAAAATTAAATTTAAAAATAGGTATCAAAAAGTCGTAAAATAAATTAGTCGTTAATAAATGTAAATGCTAAATAAAAAAAAAAAACTAAAAACTTAAATTATACGATATTCCTCTTAGAAACTCAATAATACTTATGTCTAAATATTTTAGTCTTAGAACTAAATTTTTAATTCTTTGTTCCCGTTCTTCGTTGCATGTTTTTCTTTTTTTACTTGTTCGGCCTTGAATGATTTGCTCTGTAGAATTTTCAGTTTCATTCTGAATTTTTTGGAACTGTCTCATCAATTTGTAAACTCCTGGTTGTTTTGATACTAATCTATAAACATTTTTTAATAGTTTAGTTGTAACAATTATGTTATGGTTATTGATATATTGTTCATTTGTTCCTATATCTATTAAGTCGACCGTGCCATGATTCAGCAATATTTGTTGTTCTTGGAAAATTTGCATCAACTCTTGAAGCTACTGACCACATGCCAATTGGAAATAAGGGAGGGTGTCGTTGAGGTTTAATACGTCCACGTAGTCTCATAGCTGGTTTACCATAAATGTAAGTATTTTCGAAGTATTCTAAAAGTGATTGTTCTCTTTCGTTATCACTAAATAATAATTTCACAATTTCCCAACCTTCGATTACCTAAAAAATATATTAATATATTTAAAAAATTTCAAGTTCCCACGAATAATATCATTAACATTGCATGACTCTGAAATATTAGATAGTAATAAAATAAATAATAAAATTAAAAAAAAGGTAAGTGTTATGTAATTTTTTTTAATACGTACTTTATTTACTGGAAGAAAAGAAAGAGCAGGTAAATGCCGACAAATCAAATTAAATTCAGGGTCTTCCATATACTTTGTAGATAGCCCTTATTTTTGAATATGGCGCCAGATATTTTGATACATTTCGCACATACCACCTTTCGAACATACGACTTTTCGAACAGATAATCTTTCGTACAGACAATCTTTCGTACACTAAACGTTCGTACATACGGCATTCGAACACATGATTTTCGAACACATGACACGCTTCCGTTATTATGTTACTTGAAGGGGAATTTTATTTGTTCGAGATGTCGAAAATTTCTAGTTATCAAGGTTCAAGTTACCTATTGAGAGTACACTGTATATCACAAATAGCTCCTACTATTTAACTATTTTACTATATTATCTATAAACCTTGGGAGCTAGATGCCTGCAGACCGCTCTGTCGGCGATATCCGGCGGTCGATACCGAGGCGCCCGACGGCAACGGATGATTGCCAACTATTTCGTGGAGTGGGTCGTGGGTCGGGGGACAGGTGTTACGTCATAACATAAAATACTAAAGATATCTATAGACAACATTGTCGCGACTATTGTACCATTGCGGGAACTATTTACGTAATCGTTTATTGTAATGCTAATTAACTACTGCAGTATTTACCCGGGGGGTAGATCCCCCTTGACCTATTTCATGTAAAGTTAAGTTTTCTCATTTTCTATATTTCTCAATATGATATTAATTTTAAGTAGGTATGTCTGTTTTCTAAATGTTCTAGCCGTGATAATTGTACCGCTCTGATTTATTAATCGCCACCATAGCGACCATCGCGGTATAGCGACTATCGAACAACAAAAACAAACCTCTATTACCATAGTATGGTGTACTATATTTTTACTTTTCTGCGAATTATTTTTCATACTTGAATGTTTATAATAAACCGATAAACAGTTGGTAAATAAAACAAAATTACCATGAATACCATGGATTTACCATAGGGCGTGGGTTTATTTTTAGTAACTGAAGTGTAGTTATTGACTGGAAAAATTGTATTCACCTGTGGGTTACATACTTTAGATGTTTGTGATAAAGAGTTTTAGCCAAATATTCATGAACTCTTGAAAATATTTTGTAGTTTGTCTGTATCAACTGCTACACCTGAACGTTGTTTTTCAAGTTTGAAGAGGATTAAGTCTTACCTAATAAATAGTACGACAGAATTAAATATTTTATCAATTTTCCTATTTAATATTGAAATACCTATAATTATAAATTAGTAATTATTATAAACTTTGTTTATTACAACCGACTTAATGTGTTTTCTTTATTGGAATGTCACCGGCCAATACAACAATCATGATAGATGAGGTTATCGATGAACTGAGCATCCAAAAAAATGGATTTTTTATTATACCTACTTATTTTTTTTATAGTATTAAACACGGGATTGGTGCTTATATGAATTCAGTGGCATGGTATAAGGGGTTTAATGACGCCTAGGCGTCATGGTGGGCATTTCTTGGGTGGGTGGGTGTATGGGTGGGTATGTAGTAGGATCCAACTGGGATACCAAACATTATGGTAAGCAATAATTTAACACAAACATTATATACCGGTAACCGGTAGAGACATTTCCACCTGAATATGACAATTCAGCTACACTCAATAACACACTCGTTGCTATATTAAGAATTAAATAGCTAAATATTTAATTGTTTTCTGTTAGTGGCAAAAATATGATTAGTATTTTTTTATACATAATGAATAATGATATATCTAACATTTATAGAACTTATTAGTTATTACATGATATTATATAGTTCAATAGTTGATTATAAATAATATTTGATAATATTGGCGGTGGTCTATGGCCAGAGGCAGTTCGAGTATACTGTTTTTGGTGCACAGCACCACCAATATTAGGGGAGTGGGTGGGTGGTCTTGGTTGAGCATGTGCTGCCGCAATGTTCAATAAAGTAATGAATTACCTAACCAATGACATTAATTGATAAATGATAATCGTGGCTGAAACTTTTGAAAGCGTCGAGTTAAGAATATAAGGTATTAGCATCGATTATAAATACTATGTTATAGTACTTATAATCAATGGTATAAGCATAGGCTTTATTTTCATATAGTCAGTGCCCAGTAGTATTCGATAAAATAATCTTATTGATAAGCTAATAATAATAATAATAATAATAATAATAATATTTCCAATAATAGGATAGGATGATGTTATTGTCGTCATGTTTGCCGTTTCATAGAAAAAATATTAGTAGGTATCTGTCTAAAAATAGCCTAAAATAAAATTGAAAAATGTATTATTATCTTTCATTACTATTCACTATAATATCACGAACAGACGTCATATTATCCAAGGTATCGGTCTTCGACCATCGTGGTTATACTGAAATCACACATCCGACTATTATATTTATTATGATTAATGACTATTGAGTTTTAAATAATTTGATTTTCATCTGATTTTATTTTTAATTATAACGTGTGTACCTACTGCGTATGTCGTATGTGTATGACACTTTAAATCGGTCAATAATACGCATCTACTTTCTAATTAATTCAGTGGTTTTAAATGATGTCTTCTAATGAAAATGAAAAATGTGATTGTAATAAAAAACGCTGTCTTATGAATGATGTGAACTAGACTCGCCACTTATATGCTTGCCCCGTTCGTAAATCTAAACGAAAAAATCAAACTATCAAGACTTTTTTTACTTTACCTCAAGCCAAAAAAATATGTAAAGATTTTACCAGAATATCAGAATGTAAGTTACCTTCTCAGTTCTCTATTTATTTGTATTGTTCTATTACGTAATATTTTTATAACTTTAATTATATTTCTTGAAATGGGTTTGAAACACACACAGTTATATTGTGTGCAAACAAATACTAATAGGTAGTACCTAATATATTAATCATATTTAAAATCAAACATTGTCACAAAGAATTTCTTAAAACGTGTTTAAAATATACAATATATGCTACAATATTGTGTCAAAAGATTACAAATAAATATTGATGTAAGTCAATACTGTAGTACCTATATTATTTGAAATCTGCACAGTTTTCAACATTTGAAATATTCGTATTTTATTGTCAATAACTTTAATAAAGTTATTATCATAAATAATGTCTCCGTTTGCTTGAAGTTATATCTTTCAAAATCACACCGGCGAAAAATAGATTTATTTTTGATATAATATTTCTTAGATTAAATACTGAAGAATGCAATATATATGAAAATATGTACAGCAATATTTTGGTGTTTAGTTCAGAAACAAAATATATGCCAGGTCGCAAAACAGCAGTGATGGTAGACGTCGCTATAAAATAGGCGTCGTGCCGTCGTTCATAAGTTGTTCCAAGCGCCACTGTACCCTACACCAGGGATTCCCGAAAGGTGGTCCGCGGAACCCTGGGGTTCCGTGGAAGGGCCTCAAGGGTTCCGCGTACCGTCCAAAAATTAAACAAAACTTTCATAAAAAAGAATCACAACCGCGCCGCCGTTGTTCACACATTCGTTATGTGTTTCGTTTCATGCTTCTACTAGTATTTCTAATTGCACAATTACACCAAAAACAAGTACAGAAATAGACTTGATGCAGCTCCAGATCTTCGCATTCAATTATCAGATATAAAGCCTAATTTTAGTGATATTTTAAGAAAATATGTGAAAAAATTTCATTCTTCTCATTAAAATATTAAATTGATAAAAACAGGCACTTAGTTACATTGTATTTCTTTGTACAGTAAATGTTTTTTAATACATAAAATAATTGTTTTTCATTTATATTTGTTCTTTCTTTTCATATCAAACATAAAACTATAAAACTACTAGGTGACTAGGTGATAACTTTATGTTATCAAACAAGGGTTCCACATAAAAATGTATAATCGATTAGGGTTCCGTGGCAAAAAAAAATTGGGAACCGCTGCCCTACACCAACCAAAACCTCCTATAGAATATACCTAGATGTCCAAGAATATAACAACCTGATGAATTATCTATTTTACAATAGTAGGATGTTAAATATATTGTTTATTTTAACTTCTACAAATAACATCATTGCGATTTATATTGTATAATAGTTGAACTATTATACCTATACATCCTATAGATTCTATAGTATAGAATATAGATATCTTTTGGAAGATTTCGATATAACATCCTCCAACAATAACATCTATTTAACAATAATATTAGGATATTAAATATATGAAAAATATGAAATTTACTTCAAATAATAAAATCTTTATGATGCTATCTAGAAACTGTAAAAACTGATGTCGAAATTAACATCTATGGGATGTTAAAAAATGTCGAATTTATTATTTAATTATTACTTATAGCAGCTAGCGCTAGCTAATCAGCTGATCATCGTCAAAACATATTATTATCGTTCGCTGGGGATGCGACTGTAGTAGCTTGTAAGATATAACTTGGCAGGATATTAACGAAAAATAAAATGTTTGACTTGAATATTCTTTAAAAAAATTAGTTTCATGAAGTTATGATATTTTAATTATATATTGATAGTGGTTTAACCAATAAATAGAAGGATGAAAAAATTTAAAATATATACTTTTAGAAAAGCAAAACATTGGATAATAAATATAATATTCAGGAAATTGATGATGGTTGGTGAAAATGTAATACTGTTGAATTAGAACTTGAATATATTATTAAACTTAAAGCACTTAATGTTGAAGAATTTTGGGTAAATCTTAAAAAATTAGAAGTTGAAAATGAATACCCTTTTCGTGTTTTATCTAATTCTGTTCTTACAGTTTTATCTTTACCACAATCAAACGTTTCTTGTGAACGTATGTTTTCCAAAATTAATTTAATTAAAACAAAACAAAGTAATCGTTTACAAACACCTACATTGAATGGTCTTCTTATGGCTAGTCAATGTATGCAAGAAACTACTTGTTGTAAATTTGAACCATCTCAAAATATGTATAATTTAATGACAACTAGCAATTTATATGGTCATTTGAATAAAAACAATAATGATGATGAGATAACTTTTGTTGAGGTCTGATTTTTAAATGCTTGTAATGCATTGTTATAACTTATAAGTGATGTTTTCTTCATTTGTTTTTTTTTTGTTTTTGACTGATATTTAAAATTATAAATATTTTGCTGTTTATGTATATGATTTACTGAAATTCTAAGTTATGAATATTTATTTTGTTTAATTTTTTTGTTTGTATTTACAAATATAATAATATAATAATAATGTATTTATTTGTTTCGTATTTATTTTATTTGAAAATAATTACACGGTTTATAGTTTTGTTATAATGTTATCACAGAGTACAGACTATAATATTATCGTTCTATGATTATAGTCTGTTATGTTATCTTGTTATAAAAATACAGATAAGGTTTATCTGTGGTTTATTATTATTATGACGGTCCTATATCATATCGAGGACCTTAGGACGTCCTCGTCAAATTTTTATACGATCTTTTTGTTGAAAATACGATCTTTTTGAAGCTAATATACGACCTTCTTATTTTGAAATACTGGCAACACTAGATGCGACTATTATGGTCATTATTTTTTCTTCCGATTGCCGCCTATCCTTTGTCTGCAATGTACTAATTATTTTGTGCTTATTTTTTAATTTTTTAAAAACTCGACGACTACATTTAATAAGTACCTATTAAATACTACGTCTTAATAATTGCTTAAAGTTTTAAATATTTATGTTCCTCGTTATATTGTGCTATTTGGATATGAATGTATATTTGGAAGTTCGAATTTGTCATTATGTAAATTGTAAGTATACACTTTCATCATAATTCATATTCACTTTTATAGTACATCAGTGATGCAACGAGGATTTATTCAAGGGGGGAGAGAGGGAGTGGTCCAAAAAATTATATTTAATTAATGTTAAATTAATTAATTTTGATTTGTTTTGAGCTGTTCATGGACATTTCAAAATGTCAAGTTTATTTTGTTTTTTTTCTCTTGAATGTTAATACAATTTTTCCATCTAGTCAAAAAGCTTGAAATTTTAATACAAGGTTCTTCATAATTATTATCATAATAGCAGTTTAAAAATATTAAAGATCCTAAGGTATGATTCTTTTTAAAAGCAATCAAAGTTATGTAACTACCTAGGACATTGTTCGCTAATATTATATCTGGTTGGACCGTGTACGTACAAAATAGTCCGTGGTGCCCGGTCACCAGATGCTTCGTACGCACTGTGTACACACCGACCGACCTGTGTTATGATGTGTATTTATGTATAGCACTCAACAGAAAGTGGACAGGGTCACCGAGCAAATCCTGTGAGTGCTAGAGTGGGGTGGGCGTGTAAATGTGTGTATATATGTGTGTGTGTGCTAAATTAAAATAATAATAAGAAATAACACGGTTTCGGAGAAATAAGTCCTGTTGTATTATTGGTAGCAAAATTATAATATGGACAGCAACACAATCATATGTATATTGTATATAGAATATAAACAACACGGCACTCTTGTACCGACAATATAAAAAACAATGAATAATAATATATATGTAAAAACTCACAGATTTGTCGGTGCTTTGCTGGCCAACCGCTACCACCTGTGCCTGTATAATAATTTTATGATAGGTGCACAACAATAATAAATTAACAATAATAACATAACTGGCTATTCGAGCGAGACAATAATACTTAAATGGCAATAGCTAAATACAGCGCTTGTGGCTAAATAATAATAATATAACAGTACAAAATATGAATTAAATAAATCGCACTCGTGACATTATAACATAATAATACAGAGTGCGGCATAATGGACTCCCACATTTCCGAGGTGAATAAAAAAAAAACTATACAAGATATGGAAATTTTTTTTATTTATTAAAACTACATTAAATAAGGTTTTTTTATAGTTATTTTTTAAAAATAATATCGTCTAAATGATTGCTGTGACGAGCAACGCACATATGGAGCCGTTCTCGAAAGTTGTCCATTACTCTCGCCAGCATATCGAGTGGAATCGCTGAGATTTCTTGACGGATGGCCACTTTTAGTTCTTCAATGGTTCTAGGTCGATGTTTGAAAACTTCAGCTTTGAGATATCCCCATAAGAAATAGTCACATGGACTCAAATCAGGGGAGCGAGGAGGCCATGTTATGTTTTCCCTTAAGGAGATCAGGCGACCAGAGTAGTATGATTTGGTATGTTCAGACCGCTGACCCTTCTGACCCTCTGACCCTTCTGACCCTCTGACCCTTCTGATCCTTATGACCATTGGCCGCCGCACTTCGCGTACGTGCGCGACTTATATTTTTGACCACCGGCGGCACATTGCTCACGTGTGCGACATGTATATTTTCCCCGCCACCCTTTTCCCTGCCATCATCGGCCGCCGCACCTTTCGTACGCATGCGCATCGTTCAGATGACCACCGGCTATTAGTATACATCCCCTATCACTGACGCATGCGCACTAAAATTTCCCTCACCTGTTAAACTTCTAGAGACTACACCCGCACCTATCGTACGCATGCGCACTGTAAAATAACACACGTGTGTGAGCATGGGTTTAACCATAATAATATCACCTTTTACAAGAAATATACATTCATTATATAAAATAAAAATTATATTTTTTTACAAGAAATATACATTCATTCATTATACACAATATTTTTTACAAGAAATATACATTCATTATATAAAATAAAAATTATATTTTTTTTACAAGAAATATACATTCATTATATAAAATAAAAATTATATTTTTTTTACAAGAAATATACACAATATTTTTTACAAGAAATAAACAATCTAAACATAATTATACACAATATTCATTACAAGAAATAAACAATCTAAACATAATTATACACAATATTTTTTACAAGAAATATACAGTCTAAACATATTGTACACAATATTTTTTACAAGAAATATACAATCTAAACATATTATTATATAAAGCAAAATTAGTTTTTCCCCTCGTATTCGTCCATATGTCGATTCAATTCTTCGTCTAAAAAAACAAAATATAAAATAATAATATTAGGTTTATTGAAAATAATAATATTATATAAAACAAAAGATAAATTATATTTAAAAAATAAGTTTTTCTGTAATTTACCTTCGTTAGTATCCATTTGCTGATTCACTTCGTCACCGCTCCATACTGCTTCATGTGCCATCATGTGTAGTTCCAGGATATCATTATACCCATCCTCAGCCCAATCAGTAGCATTTTGGCTGGGTTGAGTGGTATTTGATATCCTCCCGAAAATTAGTACGTCAAATTCCGGGAGTACCTGGGACCGTACTATAATGTTTAGCACACTAGGGGAGATGGGCGATAAAGATTGGAACCATTCATTTATCTCAGATTGCCGCGATGAATTTGAAAACACCACGCCGCCTACAACATCCAGCGGCAATATATCTGGTGAAGACTGTATTGATGAAAACGAACGAAGCCATTCGTCCATTTGAGATTGTCGCAGCGGTGATGGTGAAAACTCCATGTTCTGTATCAGGTTCAATGCGTATACCCCCGGTGTTGTAGGTGTAGAAGGTTGTCTAACTTGTGATAATGAACTATGCAATTGTCGTTCGGTAAAGAAACCGCTATCTTGAGTCTAAATTAAAAATTATTGTTTATTTTATATTATATTATATTATATTATATTATATTGAGTCTAAGACATAATTTTTATTTAACACTTACCATATCTGAATATCCGATGGGGCGACGCTGAGGGGGAGGGCTAACGGGTAATAGTTGCGGGCTAAACCACCATGGTGTTTGCGCACCTTGTAGACTCCACGGTCTTTGCGCATCTTGTAGACTTTCATCTAACGCTGGAGCAATGGGCCTTGGGGTGACGGTCCTTGGGGTGACGGGCCTTGGGGTGACGGGCCTTGATGGCGGTCTATTAACCCGCTAAAACCAGATTATACACATTTTATAAATAATTTAATTTAAATATAATAATATTAAAAAATATATACTTACTAATACAAATGTCCTCTCTGGTGACATATAAAAAAAAGGCGGTGTATCTTCTGGAGGAGTCGCTACAAGATCCCTATTGTAGCTATCCCCGTTAAACCACGACAAACTAGACGATGAATCTTTAGACATCTAAAAATCGATTTATACGTAAGTCTTGAATAATGTGAAAAAAAAAAAAAATACTTACGTCTTCCAGGCGAGAGATGCAATAATCACGAACAAAATAATAAATATTACACGTAAATAAAAGTCGTATTTATATTTATAAGACTAAGAGTATACTGAGCTGACGAAAGGCACAAAAAGTATAACAAGAAAATCACAACTAACTATATAACCGTCGTCGCGACATATGGTGCCTTTTATTCGTATAAGCCAAAATTTGCGACGACTTCCCTTTCCATAATTCAACGAAAACCTACTACCTAAGGAATAATACACATCTAACTATATATCAGCCGTCGCGACAATATGGCGCCTATTATTCGTCGCGACAATATGGCGCCTATTATTCGTATAATTCCACCAAAATCTGCGACGACTTTCTCTTTTCATAATTCAACTAAAGCCTGCAAGCTAGGAGGATAATACATATTCGTTCAGATGACCACCGGCTATTAGTATACATCCCCTATCACTGACGCATGCGCACTAAAATTTCCCTCACCTGTTAAACTTCTAGAGACTTCACCCGAGGTCACCCCCGCACCTTTCGTACGCATGCGCACTGTAAAATTTTATAATTTTCAAAAATGTCCTGAAAGATCCTACTACATCCGTTTAGTACGTCTACAGTCTTAAACCGTTGTACACGTATATTTTTCGTCAGCGAACTAAGCCATTAAAATATTGTTAGCAAGTTTTTATTTTACTGTTCAACATTATTTACACGGAACTCAGTGTTTATTTATTTTTGTTTTGCTACCTTATAAAATTTGAAAAAATGTTTAAATGCGAGCAGTGTCCATCCACGTTTACGCGTAAGGGTAATTTGACTGCTCACCAAAAAAATCACAATGGTGTTCGTTTTTCTTGTACTATTTGCGCGTCGACATTCGGCTACAAGACACATCTCAATAGGCATATGAAAAATGTGCATGGTATGTATATTTTATGAGCTGTTAGGTTAAGTTAGCTTTATTTAATATTTAATTCAATATTTATTTTTTAAGCTGTAGCACGTGTCAGACCTCAACTAGGTGAAATCGTACCGAATAATGTTGTATCGGAAGGTTCATCATCATATCAAGTTCAAAATGTCGATAATAATGAACTGGATGAATATTTTAACGATGGGTATGATAATATGCTCGCTGAAATGACTGAAAATGATCAAGGTGTCGTGAACGTTCCGGCTCAACGTCAACCAGCACAGCAAAGTGTTACCCGGCCTACTCCACAAGGTCATATTCAGATTGCTCCTGGAATATTTGTCCCAGATGTTCCGGCCGGTGGATCGAATGCGGCATCCGACGACGATATTATTTGTATGAAGGCAATGGACGAATTTGAGAATACAGGTTAGTTTTATTTATAAGAATTAATTAGATTTTTAAAAGACCTGCTGATTTTTCCTCCGTAGATTATTTTTTTGAAAATTATTATCGTAAGATTTAAAAAAGATTTTTGAAATACGTGACATTAAATTATTTGTAAATGTCACAAGTTAAAAAGATAAATAGCTGTTTCATTAGATTTTATTTATCAGTCGTGGGGTTAATTAGATTTTTAATAGATTAGTCAATTTATTATTTTCATTAGATATTAATATTAGGTTTTTTTTTTTTTTTTAAAGATTCTTTCACTACCAACGTTAACGGAAAACGGGTTTCCTCTGCCAACACCACGTCGGCTGCTAGGGCGAAAAAAGCGCGCATGAGCCTAGTACAGTCCCCCGGTTTCGTTGAGATTTCGTCCTCAGCAAATAGAAAAATTGTATGGTACTATGCCAAAAATGTTTATAATACAATGATTTATACCGAGTTTCTTCGATCGCTCGAACCCGAGCTAAATAAAATATTGAAAACACGCGTTCAGCAAGGGGCGATTAAATTTAACCTTAAGCTCGAGGCGACCTATAACCGGGTCAACGTACCAAACTCGTCGGAGAACCGAGCGTTTAAAACAACAGCAACCGAAATTTATCCGGACAGTGATATCGACTCAATAGTAGAACAAGCGTTCGTGAAATTATTAGCTGAGGAAGACGCTTATGTTTCTCGCGGTAGTGGCTTTACTTTGGAAGCCATAGACGGCTTATTATTGGGAATATATAACTACACACCAATGACTGGATCGTCATATATTGAATTACCAGCATACATCGACAGGAAACGGGGCACCATCAACCCACAAAACAATGACCAGCAATGTTTCAAGTGGGCGATTCTTGCGAGGCATGTGGTCGATAATTTATCGGATAAATATAAATATTGTGTCGGTAAAAACTATACACAACACGAAGCAAAATATAATTTTGATGATATTTCGTTTCCAACACCACTATCGGATATTTCTAAATTTGAAAAAAATAATCCGAACGTCACTGTGAATGTGTATGGGTTGGACAAAAAGTTCCAGCCGCCGCGTAAATATCCGACGTACGAGGTGTACCCGCTACGTGTCGTTGATGAGGAGAAAACCAACCACTTTGATCTGTTGTTGGTGACGGACGGCGACAACTCTCACTACGTGTATATATCGAATTTTTCCAGGCTGGTCCGCGCTCAGAAAACCAGACACACTGGGAGTGTCGTGTTCTGTAAGAGATGTTTTACGAGTTTCGACGACAGACGTCATAAATTCAAGTTGAGTGGGCAGGAGGCCCTGGACCAACACAAATTGATTTGCGGCGCGCACAAACCAATTTTACCAGAGATGCCTAAGGAGGGTGATTGTGCCGAGTTCAAGGCGTGGAAAAACACGGTTAGGCACCCGTTTGTCATTTACGCGGATTTTGAGGCGATCTTGACGAAGACGGAGGAGGCAAGAGGGGGTAGTACCAAGATTACTCAGAAACACGAAGCTATGAGTTATGGGTTTTTGGTGAAAGCGAGCGATGACGTACCGGCAGAGTTATTGCTTCAACACCAGATACCGGCGGGGCCGGTAATCTACAGAGGCAGCGAAGACAGGACGGACGTAGCGAGACATTTTGTGGAGGCGATAGTTGAGGTGGCCCAGAAAATTGAAAATCTCATGAAGACGAATATTCCGTTAAAAATGGCTGAGGGTGAAGAAAAAACACATCAAGAGTGTATTAAGTGT